GAGACAGGTCATGATAATAAAAGGCGATGCGATGAATGCCAACCCCATGCACAGCGCGAAGATAAAATTCTGTTCCATTGCGAAGGCGCAGTAAGATTTTCCTGGGTGAAATTGGTAGCCTTCTCGAGCGTAAATCAAGGGAGACAACGTTGGAAGACACGCTAGGACAAACACTCCCATTGCGAATCCAATGGATTTCTTCAACGTAAAAACCCTCCGATACAAGTTAGGTTTTAACACGCAGAGGTATCGGTTCACTGCTATAACAACCATCAGTTGTAGGGAAATGACTGCCAGCGTCAAAGGGAAGGAACCTTGGAATATGCAGACCCCTTTAGTGTAAATCCAACGTCCTGACGCTAGAACGCCTATCGTCAAAGGCATAGTGGAAATGGACATGGTGATGTCGGTCAATGATAGAGCAAAGATCAGAACGTTTGTTGGAGTGTGGAGACGTGAGTTACGAGCGATCGCTAAACAAACCAAAATGTTTCCAAAAAAAGCGCTCAATGCAACCAACAATACCAAAGCTGTTTCTGCCACTACTACCGGCATTGAACGAGATGCAAGTTCACGGGACAAGCGCTGGTTGTGAAAGACCATCAATGCGTGAAGATCTAACGACATGTTCATCCTTTTGCTACGTTGTTGCTACGTTAGTGCAGTGAAGAGCTCTAGGCGGACGGCTGCAGGCTGCCTGATTTTAGTCATGTATATAATTATTTTCTGTCAGGTGCTTGATTTGTGAATTCAAAACTTTCCGTTGAAACGTAAGTGTCAATGAAGCAAGAGTATTTTCAATTACTCAAAACATTTTGTTGCACTTAGCATCGCACGGATATTACATTCAAAGTAATTAAAACGTTTCGCCGGTCTCAAAAATGAAGTGCATAAGGCTTGATCCATGCATACTCGTACTATTAAGTCTCTCTATTATGCATCGGCTGCATGCTCAACAATGTTTTCTGGGAACAAACAAATTCTACAGCGCCATTCGGTCAGTCATAAAAAGTGTCGTTACCATAAAAAAACCAAACAGTTAAAGCGGATACTTCCATTAGCAATGTCAATAACATATACTTTAAATATTGCGAAATTAAATTAAATATTCAAAATTTTTAGTTAGTTTTTCAAAATTTCTCTCTCTCCCCGTTCAGTGTTTCCTTGCTCCCTTATATTTCAGTCACCCTATATCCCATTTAATTTTATGGAATGCAAGAAAAAAAGTACAGAATGATCATGTCGTATGTATTTGGCATGAAATTCTGTCGTTTCAACGATAAAGCCTTTGAATTGACAGTTTGACAGTTACCTTCCCTCTAAAGAATAAGATAGTTTTGAATCTTCACCTTGTATTAATTATAATAGCTATATATTGAAAGGGCATTTAAACTCATGCAACAGTAAACAAATGAGAGCTGTAACTAAACGAAACCTTTTCGAGATATCTCCCCAAACCTCATAGGATTTATTTAATGTTTCAGACTATAATTCAATTTTTCTTACCAAAACTCGTAAAGAAAATCTTTAAATAAGAATGACTGAGACTAGGTTTTATGAGCCCGCGAGACTTATTTATTTATTTATAAAAATAAATAGTTTTTTTTTACTGAGCACGCCTTGATCCAAACCCTTGTTTTCACTAAAACCGCTGAACGCTACAACCTGGTTGAGGTCATTGTTATCTAAGTCTTCCTCGTAAAGTACTCGGTATTTTTAAGGGGGAGCCTTGTAGACTTAAGAGTGTCAATGAATACCGATTATTATTCATTCAAAAGATTTCCCCGATTCTGATTGGCTCAAAGCGCACGCATAATTCACCATAGCCAGCTATTGATGACCAAATTTGGAAGAATTTTACGTTTAATGAACCGATGACGTCAAAAGTGCAGCTTTCTTGCAGGTTAATGCACAGTTAACGGAGAAGACCTGGGGACGAGGTTGAATTGTTTTGGTTGTGAAAACAAAAATAGGGACCTTAAGCATCGACGACGAAATGGGACGACGACGCCGACCGGAAGTGAAATTTTCCCGCGCGAACCTTCTGGGCATGCGTAAGGTTGTCAAAACGTCGTCCAGCCTTCGTCGACGACGTAATTCAGGGAGGTTTGTCGTCTTCGCTAAAACGTAAGTATAAAACTATACTTTTTGCGTGCAAATCACTCTTTTTCCTCCTTGTCATTCGGTACAAGTCGAAATATATTCTTTGTGGATTAGCAGAATCCAAATGTTAAACACTTTGTCGTTTTCTTCGCCTGCTAACTTGCATTTATTTTTCAGGTTCGGTTTGTTTGAAAACCTGAGTGATGGCGGAACAACAAGTCGGACAGACAAGTTAGCTTTCCTCTGCTATCTTCCGAACCTTTTAGATTAGCTGCTGTTCTTTCCCTTACGGTCCTGTGTTTACTCATGCATTCTAGGTTGTACTATAGGATAAATGTTCATTTTTTCGTACTAAGATTTAATAATTCCCCATGTTGTTTTTAGCCGCTATTAAAGGCAACTATTTTCCAGTGGACTCAGCTGGAACATGATGTGGCTATGAGGAGCCCTGAGAGAGGACAAGTATGGGAAAACATTGTAGCAGCACTGAATTCTCCTCAGCAGCCGAAATTTAGCTTAACTGCAAGTCATGAGCTGTTCGAGATCGGTATACAGGTTTAACTTCATTTCAAAACAGAAACAAAAGCTGCGCGACGAAGAGAAAGCCTCCACAATCAAATACTCCAGGTCCTAAAGAACAATGAATTTGCCATCGTCGATTAAACCATCTTCATACCTTATAAAATGCAATTTACGGACGTCTTTAAATGCTCTAACAAGACTGTAACAAGACAAAGTTCTTCGCAAAGATAAAGTCGTCGTCCGTCTGGGAAGCTGCACTGCTTAAACTTCGTTTTCCCCGCCGAAAACGAAACTCTTGGCCCAGTCTGCCTCGGTTGCGAAGCGTCGTCGTCGTCCGTTTTGTTGTCGATGCTTAAGGTCCCTAATGGCGGACGTTTCACTCGTTTCAAGAGTAAGAAATAGGCGAAATAATAGCCAAAAACATGGGAAGAACAGCGAGAAGACAACTCAAAGGGCGACATCTGCTATTTGGAGAATATTTGTGGAGCTGAACAACCCTAAACGGGCACTGTAACGAAGATGAACTTAACATTTCAGCTACGTTTTTAAACTAGGAATTATTTTGAATGAATAATAAAACAATTATTGAATTCGGCTTTCGTATTATAGGAAAAATTATGGAGATCTCGGAGGATGTTATCCGTCGAGGCTGAGGCCCAGTTGGATAAGGAAAGTGAGAAAAGTTGAATAAAAGGTTGAGACAAAACAATCAATTTTAAACAAAAACCAATATTTACTAGTGATAGAGCGCAGATTTAAAAAAGGAATGGTCAGCAAAAGAAGGTCCTTCGTGACCAGGAGCTGAGAGAGTCGGATGTCTCGAATTTTCAATTCAAAACAATTTTCATACTTAATCTTTCCAATTCAGTACAGCTGTTCTTTTAGTTCTAAACTCATTGGTAAGAGTCTGCCACTGTGGATAGAGAAGCCGGCGTCATCAATCCAGGGCCACGTCATTTTTTAAGAGCGAGTTTTTCCCTTTTTTTTCTTGCATGCAAGAAAACCGTCTGAAAAGTACCAAATATAAAAACATTAATGAATAAGTATAAGTCAGACAAGTTCAAATTTTAGGATCTTATCCTGTCGTTTCCAAGATGATGTCCCCAAGTAAAAAAAGTCTCTTCGAAATATACCGTTTAAACAAACAGAAATACCTTGCTTATATCTACACTCATGGTACGGTTGGAAGCAAAAATTGATCAGAGACGTTCATATCAAAACAATTTACACACTGCATGGATTGATTCTTCTTAATAGTTTTTAGTGCATAATTTTTTCAAAGAACTCTTTTTTGAAACAAGAAAACGAAAAAAAAATGGAAAAATATTCACAACAACAAAAGGGAAAAACTATACAGAACTTACAAGCAGAAAAAGAAAAAGAGCTAGAACGTGCCCATTGACATGGCCGATACTTACACTAATAAGTTACTGTACAAGTGATATTTACATGGTTGATACATGATGCGTAATGATAGTCTGCCTATCAAAATTGTCTATTAACCCTTTCACTGCCAAATGAAGCCAAAGGCAAATTTCGGGCAAGTTTGCAAATTTCATTTTGTAAAGTTTTGAAAAATAAATAGCGCTTAGTGAAAGTGCAGGCAGAGAGCTTTCATTTGAATGGTCACATCGTAGGATTTCATCCACAGACTCAAAAGTTAGAGTCACCTTACAAAACTCCATCAAGCACTCTGGCAGTGAAAGGGCTAAAATCTAAACACTCATTTATTAATTCTCCTAATCAGTTCTCTAGTGATCTCTACTTTGTGTCATTCTTTATGCTGGCTTTATCGACAGGTTTTATCTTTGTTTACACGGGGCTACGGCAAGGCCGCTGACCAAGAGTTCGCGTTTCAAACGTCCCTTTTCTAAGCAGGCATTTCTTCATTAGCAACTTATGAACATTTATTTCATTTGATTTCTTTTGGCTACCTCTGTTTGTTTTTATTCTGTTATTATTGTATATATGTCAATGAAAGTGTTTTCTACTAAAAACCGAAAATAGAAAATTCACAACCCAGAATCGAATCCTCGGACCTTCGACTATGCTATCGATCAAGGCTTGGGTTATTATCGATAATTGCATTTGACCGTTTTACGGAAGAGAAACTTTGGAAGATTGGTATATGTGATTACAGCTATACGTCACTACGAGAAGGGCCAACAGCAAAGCTTACAGCACTTCAGTATTTTACTAGCGCGGCATGTGTTATTGCCATGGAGTCCACATAAAATGCCTTCTCGGGACAATCTGGTCCAATCAAACTGATTACTTTAAGTGCGAAGTCCAAGCTGAGAGGCCTTGAAAAACGTGCCTCTTGATTAGAATAATTATCCTTAATTAGTAGCATGCTAATTGAGGGGATGTTTCATCTAAACTTCAGTTTGTCCTCTAGTTTCGTTAGCTGATCCAGTCTTCCTTTTTTTGTAAAACAGGTAGACATCGACTGCAAGGAGGAAGGTAGAAACGAGGCTAAAACTCTAAAAAAGAAGATTAAACAAATTTTGGTGAGAAGTGTATGCGATTCAGGTAAATTGTACTTTCAGATGCATTGCACATGGGGATATCTTTAATCAACAGAGAAAGTGGACATAACATTTTTTTCGAAAAGAGATAGAAGAGCCGTTGTCTGTTAGTCTGAACAGAGCTTCCAACCAAACTGAAGCTGACGTCCGATCAGTACATGGTAGATAGTTTGAAGTTTTGTTCAGAATAGAGGCATGGTTTCTAATCCGATTCTCAGCGGTACTTTATGCCCAAGTTTTGCGCCTTCCAATCCAGAAGGAGGGGGGTGGGGAGGGGAAATATTGTATATACAAATTAAAATGAGGTCAGAATAGTATCTATTAGGATACCTCCGACTAAAACAGTGAGAACACCGGAGTGCCTGCGTGCCTTTATTTAATTTCAGTTTTCTGATTGGTGAGGAAACCTTTACAACATCTCTTTTACAGTTATTGGCCAATAACCATCAGTCTAACAGAATACGGGGGCACAGGGGACTGCAACTTATTTCGAACCTCACGTGCCACTTGGTAGTGAGAAGTGCCTGGGTCGGAGTTTTTTTGGTGAAGTGGCTCCCAATATAAGTTAATGTCGTGTAAAGGAATTGCGTAGCAGTCAAGGGCGTAACCAGCCGTTTTTTTCCTTTTAAGCAAGAGCTGTAGAAGGTCTGAAGGGGAGGGGGATAAGGGGTGAAGGGACTGATAGCAAGCCAAGTTAAGGCTGACCTATAAAAATATATCACAGCACATCCACAGTTCTTTTTTGCTCTTTCTGACCGGGCACGGAACTTCAAAGTCAAAATGAAATAGTCGTATTGAGATACCTACCACTGAGACCGTAATAATGTCGGAATGGCCATGGAATCCAAATGCCTTGTGTATTTTAGCCAGTTCGTACTCTTTTTTCATGAAATCGGCCATTCGCACAGAAGCAACTAAAAACAACAACGCCAGCAGGAAGGAAAAAATATAGAGCTAAAAGAAACAGAAAGAAATTAAATTAAGGACGAAAAGCGGTAATCCGGGTTAAATTTTAATTCGGGTTGTTCTAAAGCATTTTCTCGGGTAATTTTTCCTGTTCTCTTTAAAGCATCCAATCATCAAATTATAGACTTGGAGACTGTTAAACTAAATTTGCTTGATTTATGCAATATCTCTTGCTCGGACACCTACAACGAGATGAAACTTTCCCCAAATGCAAATCGTAGTCTTCTTATATGGTCACGGGACATGTCACGTGGTCAAAAGTTAAAGTTTCAAATTAAAGCTTTGATTTGACTATTATTTAAGACTAAATTTGAGCCCTTGAAATGACGTTTGCCTTCACAGTTTTTTTTATTGGAATGCAATGGACATTCATTCCAAACGTGAAGCGCCAGAATTTTTTTAAATATGAATAATAAAGATACTTTTACTTGACTTCTTTACTTAAACCCTGCGTTAACTATTTTTCCTACTGTTTACGATTCTCAGTGAGGTGGTCACGTGACATGTCGCGGAACGAACAGAAAGGATACTTATTCTTCAAAAAACTAAGGACGAGAGGATATTTTTATGTACCACATTTCAATTCTATCAGTACCACTTTTTTCACGAAGTTACGATAAAACCAACTGCTATGTTACCGGAGCTTAGAACTCGATATTGTACAAGTTAATTTACATGCAAGCTAAGAGTATTAACTTTCAGATCGTGGTTCTATTGATTTTGAATATTTCAGACTTAGTTTGGTACTTAGTTTGGAGCAGAATTTTTGAAAAATGAAAGATGGCGGACCCAAAATGTCGGTCAGTTTAGTTTGAGTACACTCACCACAAAGTTCAAGTTTTTCTCCGTCAAGCTAAACGCGAAGACCGAGAATATCAACAAGACGGCTAACAGGCCAATGACGAAAACCGCCACAAAGAAGAAGAACCAAGCTCGAGGTATAAGTCCTTCTCCGAAGACGACTGTCTGTTTAAGTTCATAATCAACCAGACATGGAAACGCTATGCAGATAGTCATCTTTGAAACAAACAAAAATACAAACAATCAGTCCGAATAAAAAAAAACAGAAACCAAACACTAGGCAGAAACAAAACAAAATTTGAGACTAGGGACCGTGGAACGTAGGGGCTAGCTATAGGCTCAGAAGCCCCGTCATTAATTTCGCTTGCAAATTCCAGGTCAATGCAGCCACTGCCGATCACTGCAACAACATTGCAATCTCAAATAGGCACAAGACAATAGAGCCGACTGACGCTGTACGAGTTGTCGGCGAGGCTAACTGATTTTGAGGCTAGATGCCCATAACCTCCAGAGCAACTTTGAAACATGTACTGACGTTGACCTCCTTCATATAACCTAACTGGACTACTGCGCATGATCATGAACCCAAAATAGGTCCAACGCAAAAACTCACTTTACGACTGATTTCCTTATTTTTTTTTATAATTTGTTGTTTTCGCTGAAATCCAGTTTAAATGGTAAAAAAGTATAAATTTGTAAACTGGCCTTAATGTTAATTATGTTGTAGATGTAGTACGTTTTTGTGCAGAAAACTAACAGAATGGTAATGAAAATTGGACAAAACGTTCTAAGGATTGGTAGAAAGAAACACGTTTCCGATGATTTCACATGCTCCTGACCCCCGCTAGACAAGCTCGTGCCTTTAGCTCTCGTTGACGGCTCAGGGTACGCCGCGCAAGCTAGGCAAACCAATCCAAAATATGTCCGATGTCCATGTGAGAGTGAAAGTCATTAGTTCACTTAACACACAAACAAACAAAAGTTGTAAGCCTATGAGATCTTGGAGGCTTATTTGCTAAACAAAATATCGATGTACGTTGAGCCAAATATTCTTCCCTTTTAATGCAGATACGTAGTATTACTTACACCTTCATATACCATTTTCGAAATATGACGCCTGAAGATGATTTTCGTTTTGTTTTATTCCCCCAAGCAAAGCAAAGCCAAGCCAAGTATGAATTTAAATATAACGTCGAAATTTGTAGAAAATTAAAGCTGGTTATGAGTAGACCTAAGTTTTACATCACTTATCGAACAGGCACCAAGCACATACAATGAATTCAACATTGAGAAATCAAAAAACCTTGGAAACGTTTTCAGTTTTATCTACTAGATCTCCAAACGCCTGGTGTTAAAACAAAGGTTTGGTGTGATAATTAAATTGCGCTAAACCTTACCGAACAAAGCCCCTATAATGCATGTGTTTTAGCGAAACTGCAAGTATTGTCCTAAAAATCTAATGATAAAAGGTTTGATTTCACATAAACGCTTACAAATTCCAGGATTTTGAGGATGCCTTGAGCAGATTTCAGGTATTCCGTATTAAGCGCCATATCCGGCGGTCTGAAAAACAAAACTGAACAAAAGATTGCCAGAATCACTTCACCCTCAATACAAAAGTAGATAACCGTAGCCATTAATTTAGCGTTACTCAAGATAACCACTAAGACGGATTCGTTTAGCTTTGAGAGAAAAGTCTCTACCTTTTAAGGCTTTTATTGAATACTGAGCAAAATAAAGTTGCTGAATGCTTATCATGATTGACCGACGGTGATAGAGGGCATTTTTGGGTGTATCTTGGTTTTGCGGAAACCATTATTGGTTATATAGTTATTGTAATGTGGTATAGATATTGTTCATTGTCCGTTTAATCTTTTGTATTGGTGATGGTTAAAGCACCCGTCTGCAACACCAAGAAACTGCACATTTTTAGTTAATCAAGAGGGCACTTGTTATAAGATAGGACATGATTATTATTTGATGATGCAGCCTCGTTCCCAGTCGTCCTCGGCGATTTCGGATGTGAAGTCACCTGTCAAGCTTGTCGGGAAAATTCGCCTACAAGCCTCCTCTTGTAACTCGGATAGCGCAAACGGGCCTAGGTACGAGGCTGTATTTGATGCTGATTGGCTGAGAGCGAGTCGCCTGTAATAAGGGAGCTTAAGCAACGACAACGGCGACGACAACGAGAACGGCAATGAAGCAATGGGCTTAGACTAACAAAACAACAATTAACTTTGCCCGTAAATGCGATCGATTATCTCATCTTAACTCGAAAGGAAAGCATATAAAGGCGTATTTTTGGTGGAAAAGCATAGGATTTACCTTGGTTACAAAAAGTGCCCTCGTGATCAAGAAAAAATCCCATCTGTGTCAGCCAATTAGCAATTATGAGCAAATTAGTATTCAGCAATTTTTCCTTGTATCCCACACCCTCATTATGCATGTGCCTAATATATACATAGAACGACAAAAATATTCAGTAAGTGACCTCGTTGGTTGTATTACGTTTTCTTTATTTTTTGAACCCTTTTTTTGTTTCATACACCATGCCATGCGTGGAGTCACGCGGCTCACACTGTTTTCTCGACATTCACCAGCGTTCAGTTGTTGTTCGAAAGAATCGTTTCTTAGCAGCTGTCTCAGTACCAGACTGAAGAGAACAACAAGTCGTCTTAGCTTGACATCACTTCCACATTTCCCGTACTGAACCTTATTTGCCCCCAAAATTTTGCAGAAGCCCCGGGGGGGGGGGGGGGGCACTTGGGTATTTTTTGGGTGGGTATGTGCCGCCCGGGACTCCAAATTGGCACCCCGTCCTAAAAAAAAATTCCCCTAAAACTGATACCCCGTTCTAGTAATGGGCCAATTTTTTATACCCCGTTCTAGAATTCGCCCTAAGACTGATACCCCGTTCTAGAAATGGGCCTCTTTTTTATACTCCGTTCTAGAAAGTTTGTAAATTGAAATAGCACTGTTTTTTTAAAAAAATATTTCTTTATTTGTTCGACTTATACATCAAATAAATGCTTCTTCATAATCAGCAACAATTTTAAGCAGAAGATAAAGCCGTGATCCCCAATTTTTTATACCCCGTTCTAGAAAACGCTTCTGAAATGGATACCCCGTTCTAAATCAGGAGTTTCAAAATCACGACCCCGTTGGGCGGCACATACCCGTATAGGTAGTGTATGGGAGTACCCCCCCCCCAAAATTGAAATAGCCCTGTTTTTTTAAAAAAATATTTCTTTATTTGTTCGACTTATACATCAAATAAATGCTTCTTCATAATCAGCAACAATTTTAAGCAGAAGATAAAGCCGTGATCCCCAATTTTTTATATCCCGTTCTAGAAAACGCTTCTGAAATGGATACCCCGTTCTAAATCAGGAGTTTCAAAATCACGACCCCGTTGGGCGGCACATACCCGTATAGGTAGTGTATGGGAGTACCCCCCCCCCCCCGGGGGCAGAAGCATTGTTTTCAATTTCTCTTGGGACGGCTGTAATACCCTAGCCTACGAAGTCTACGAAAACACCCGTTTCTCCTCGCTCTTCGCCGCTAGGGACGTTTCGCGCGGAGGAACGTCTAGTAATACCCAGGATAAATGACAAACAAAGGTTATGCAAAATTTTGAGGGGCAAATAAGGTGCATTATTGGAAATGTGGAAGTGGCGTATAAATTAGCGATCGGAGTTAACTTAGTTGGGCGGGAGTTTCGACTGTTTGGTGAAAGAAAACGGCGAGTGATAAACACTTAATTCCTCTGTGTTACATCTGAACAAAACTTACCTTTAACAGGATGGCTTCTTTTAAGCCCGGGTTTTCAGGCGACTTACACTTGACAACTTGAAAAGTGATTATTCTCACACCAGCAAGCGCGTACAATTGAACTTTTCTTCATATAAGGACACCGAAGTGACAGAGCGAACTGTCTGCATTGGAGAGGTGCCCACTTCATAGAGGTCACCAAAATGACGTCACTTTATTTAAGGCTTCGCTGCAGACACTCGTTTTGACCGTATATAACCTAACATGCAGCATGCACTCTATCAGAAGTTCAGTACGTTTTACATCTCAGCTACATTTACGAATCAGTTTAAAATTGGTGGTGAAACACGCAATAATGCAGTGCTTCACGTATTTTAATGTTGAAACTACACATTATTTCCGTCAACATTTATGACGAGATGGAAAGTTGAATTCGCGTGACGGAAATCATGAACGTAAATAATTAACACAAACAGAAAATTATACTAGGTTGGAGTGTCCGCAGCAAAGAGGTTAATAAGAATTTTTATTAATTGCCTGTCTTGGAAAGGGATTTTTTGGCCAGGCTATAAGAAATAAAAAAAAAAAATTCCGATTCAAGTATCCTTGCGGTGGCACCTGTGACAGAGCACGCACTAATATGCCAGAAAACGGTTTCAGCTTGTTTCATAAGACAGAACAACGGAACTTCCGTCTCCGTTTCGTGAAACTGAAGCCAGGCAGTAGAGTCGCGGTCACAGTGACAGATCGCTTCTGGGGTTCAGCATATGTGCAATATCCAACGATTTTGAGAGTTTCCGCCATTTTAGCCAAGTTTTTGATAGAATACTAGGACTTAATATAGAGAACTCAGAGATTACAGTAAAACCCCGCGTATAAGAACCTGGATTTTTAAATTTAGCCTAAACAAGTTCTTATATAAATGGTACTTAAAGCAAATTTAGACTACCAAGGTTCTTAAATAGGTTCTTATATTTTCATATGAATTTCATTCCAATTTTTTATCACAAATATCATCTCGTAATACAATATAAATCATTTACATGTATACCTATAATGTAATGCCTACAGGCATTACAGTGCAGATATGTTCTTAACAAAACATAACAAACAAACTCACAGTCAGTTCTCTGAAATGCCATTTCAAAGTTGATACCAAGAAAATCTTGGGACAAATACTTAAAATTTTAGCCTTCACAGGTTCTTACTTGGAGGGGCCTTAAAGTGAAAATTTTAGCCTCACAGGTTCTTTTGTTATACGCGGGGTTTTACAGTATAGCTATTCCGGAATGTCGGGGAAAAGCCTTGCAAGAGTTATCTATCCACAGGTGGACCATGTGCCCGAGCTGTTCGAGGCAGCGTGAAGTCACACGCGCTTATAATGTGTCTGATCTCTTATACATTTTACTGTATATATTCTTTAACAGCCGCTCTCGTCTTGAATCAACAGATTAGGAGAAATGCTTGTTGTAAAGTTTTAAGCGTGGTTGTGCCCAGTACGCTCTTGAAATGTTTTTCTGTGATCTATCCTGGAAACGTTACTTGCAAATTATTTATAAAGGAAAACAACTAATAACAAAGTAGAGATATTTATAACCGGTTCTTAGAAAGAAGAAAAACGATAAAAGCGCGATTTTCCTTTATTTCAAGCAATAATTTGTCCTTGTGCGAGTTACGCAATCAGTCACGTGACAGTGTTGACTAGAAAATATAATAATGATCGGCTTTGTTATATTGAACATTGGGTAAGTTATACTGTTTTAGCGATTTTTTTAAAAATCAAAGAATTGGAAAGTAAAAGGCGATTCAGGCTCCAGCCTCGTTTTCATGCTGGACTGTAATGTGTGTGATATAAAAACGTCGTTTATTCGAAACCTATAACACAAATCGACCTTACAAATTATTAGACAATGAACAAAAGGTTCTGTTCTACCAAAATCCGGTATCAAACCTTTTCTCACCCGTGGGTTGAACGTAACGACAATTTTCCGACCTCGGCTACTGGACTACATTGCAAAGATACATTCTCCAAAGGCATCGATACATTTAAAGTGAGTGTTTATTTATTTCAGTAACGTTTATTTAATATCTAAACACCCAAAATTATCCTTGTATCAGCTCTCCGGTTAATGTAAAGTGCATTGCCAGCAGTTATCACAGTCTCAACAGTGTGAGAAATTATTTTTCTCATGTTTACACGCGTTTTGCTCTGAAAATTTGTGGCCTTGTATCAAACACGCGCGCACGTAAGGAATCTCGCGAGGGACGGGAAGAGCTTTTGGAGCGCGCGAGTTTGACTGCAAGACTGACCAAGTGTTCGGCGATGCAAAATTTACCTCTAGTCATGAAATAACGTTGCTAATAAGAAATCAGTAACTAGCAAATTATTGTTTCTAATTTCCTATTGATTAATTACTTATCTTACGTTTGAATTTTGTTGTTATTTCTAACATCGGTTACTTCTGAAGATGTATGTTGAAGCATACGAAACCGCGTCAAGTTAAAAGTCATATTTTCCCCCGCTATGGGTTTTTCCCTGATGTTCATCACCGTAGTTTGAGTTTTATTTTTTATCAAGCTACGATGGCCAAAGATCAAGAGTATTGACGTTGTTTGTTTTTAGAAATTTTAAAAACAATTGTCTCAAGTCAATGAAAGTACAATGTTCTCTACTAACTGAGAAAGAAAATCCACAAACCAAATTACACTATGCTATCTAGGCTTGGTAACCAGTGATGGCCTCAGAAGCTCTGATCATGACGTAACTTCGAAGCGAAAATGTTCAGCATTCAATTGGTGCTATAAGCTGAACATCCGGTTCGCGGATATAGACTCTGAATCTCTTTAGGCGCAAAACACTGAAACTGTGGTGAAGACTTCATCTCCCGAAGCTGTTTCTTTCCTAGAATAGCGTTACGAGTAAGCTAGCAGCAGAACCGAGTTTCTTTCGCTAAAAATCATAAAACTGCAAACTGATCCTTACGGCAAGGCGATGAGAAGTACAAAACAAATATTTTTAACAAATTTGCCCAATATTTCGGTTTGAAAACAAACCTTCTTCAGGGGTTGAAACTATATTTATATTTTTTTATTCTTTCGTTTACTTCTTCATCGCCTTGCCGTAAGGATCAGTTTGCCGCTTCAGGTATGGTTTCTACAAGTTATTATTGTACTGATCACAACTGGGAGACCCGGCACCATTCATCAGTTTGTCGCTGTGGACTTGCTGATATTTTTTATTTTGTTTTGCCACACGCGGAACTTACCCTGATTAAGCCTTAGAAAAGTGCCGACATTTCGCGACGCCACATTTCGTGAAACAGTCGGGTGGCGTCGCAAAACGTCGGCTTATTTCCTCAGGCTAACCCTCATTGGTCTGGCTTTGAAACAAATTTGTGGGGAAAAATAACTCTTAAAAAACTGTGCAGGTTAGTTATAGATTATTAAATTAACATGATTTATGAAAAGCAAGCTGCAGCATCTTAACTACTCAGTTAGCTCCAATTTTGCTTTTACTGCAAAGGAGAAAACCATCGACTGCAAGGAGGAACCCCGAAACAAATCCAAATACCTAGAAAAAAGGAGAAGTAATGAAAAAAAGGAACTGTTCTCCAGAAAATATTAGAGATAAATCGCACTTTTAAATCCAATGAACACCTTCGATCCTCTTCTTCCCTCCCCTGGTGTCGTCATGAAGAAGGGCAAGAAAAAGGAAAGGGTTCCATTGAGCTTCTCTGTATTCTGATACCCGCTGGTATCCGCTATCCCTGCCTCGTATATAATGTCGAACGTTAAGCCCTTAGTTGACGATTTTTAAAATGAGAGATTAAAAAATTTAAAGATTCCAACTGTGTAACTTAGCTGTCTTCGATCGGTGTGGATATATTTTGCACTCTTAGTGTCCAAATTAAACTAAACCAATCCTTTTATGACCAATTCAACCACTGCACCCTGTGGGGAGGGAGGTGGGGATTGCGTTATTACATGCCTACAAGGACCGGGCCACTAGACAAGGTTTAAGTATATTTGGCCCTTCTGTCTGATTTTGTCTGAAGTTTGACTCCTAACCAAGTTCGTTTCTTTATTTAGAGGAACAGCAGAGACGGTAGCCATTGACGTAACCAGGGATGAAAAGCAGAGTTGTTGACCGATACAAAAAGAAAGTAGTTTTCTTTTGTCCTAAACCTAGTCATCAGCATTACTTGGGTGAAGACCTCAGTCCTCACCCAGGGAGGGGGGGGGTGGGGGAGGGACTGCAAGTCCCAGATGCAAGTTTGAATAAGCACCGCGGCGGTTATTAAATTTTCAGTCTCGACTACGGCGCTTATTTGAGGGTGGCGCTTATATGGAAGTTGGACGCCGCAAAAAATTGTATTAACTACGGTATAAATATTTCCCGTATTAAAAGAACAGAATGCTTCAATTAATCGGCGCTTAATCGCGGGCGGTGCTTATTCGAGTAAAAACGTGATATATTTTGGGGTACTTACCACCGACACAGTAAGAAGGTCAGAGAATTTTTTAAAAGGAGGAATTTTGTGCCATCGTGCGTCGTACACATCATTCAAGAATTCAGTCATGAGACCAGAGGCAATGAAAAACAACAGAGCAAACAGGGCGGAGAAAATGAGCAGCTTAAAAGATAAAAAAAAGTGAAGAAATATTATTCTAAGTATGTCGTTGATTTTATGTCTTAATACTGAGGACTACTTTTAATTATTTTTATGTCATGGCTTTCAAGTTGGTACCACAATATCAAAGCTCCGGAAGGGTAACATGGCCCTGAGCAAAGTAGGGTGTTCTTCTTGGTTAAAAACTCCTTGGAATTTGAATTAAAATCCGAGCGTCCAGACAGTCAGGTGCGGCTCATTCGTTTGGAGGCGACAGTGCAAGACCATAAATTTGTATTTTTAAATATTAGTTTATACTCAAGAGAGGATAAAGGGGACAGAGAAGGCATCCCTCATACATACCCTATTCCAAAGGTCATTCGTCTCGAGTTATTTTTAGAATCGGGATAAAGTTACCTCTCACGCTGCGTGGATGTTTCGTGGAGGTTTTGTATGACTAAACGCCGTGCAAAACATGTCGGGCGAAAGGCAATGAAAGCGTAAAGAGATCAAGAGCATTCCTGAATTTTGAAGCGAAATGAGTCGGCGCTCACCTGGGAAAAGGGAATCGCTGGACTCTGACAACTCGTTGACAACCCGTGAAATCAGTTTAATTCGAAGTTGTCGTAACCTCAGTGCTTTTAATAAAATGAGAAATTTTGCCGGTCTATTGAAACCGGTCGTTTGTTCAGTAAAGCAAGTAGGACGTGTTATTTTTGTTGAATAATAAACTACTAATAAAAGAATAAATATCAAACCAGAAATTGCTCTCTTCAAACTGTAAATTATAAATGATCCTGGGAGAATATTCAGTGTGTTAAGGATTTCCCTACTGTACTATTAGCTCTATACAAGAGAAGAACGGCGATTCTTTTTTAATTTCCGTTTCGCTGACACAGCTTTAGCAGAAATCTCCCTGTAGTCGTTTTCGTCGACAAAACGAATAGCAATATCGTTCTCCGCGTCTTCCGCCAGTTTGTTCTGCGTCAATTCGTGAAGGACGCGTGGCTCTGAGCGTGGGTCATCCAGCGGAACACATTCGCGCTATGTGATTGGCTGTTGTCTAATCCCCCTTGGGATCTGTGGTCTTAAAAATAACTAGAGACGAATTACCTATGGAATAGGGTGTGTATGGGGGATGCCTTCTCTGTCCCCTTTATCCTCTCTTGTTTGTACTCCAATAAAAACAAGCCACCCGAAGAACTGAACAGAATGGGTATTGATGATGAATGTAGGATTATAGCCGGTGGAGGTTTTAATGGCAATGCGTTTACTCCACCATCAACGTTGAACGAAAGCTCTTATTTTTTTGTCAGTAAAATGTGAAATAATGGATATTCTTAACATCCGTTTAAAAAATGTGTACAAACAATTTTGTTCTTATAAATTAACTCCGCCTACTGCTAATGCCAAATGGGAAGACAAATTAGATCCTAAAACCAAGCCTTTTGTGTAAATGGACAAAAATATATATACTCTTTGCCTTTTCAGGTTGCTCTGGATGAGAAATAGATAGTTACTTTTATTGCACACACAAATGATGAACTGTTTGTTTTCAAAATTGTAGACTCCCCTCACAGCACGTTTTGTAAAAAATGAAGTGGAATCCCCATCAGTCTTTTGCGAATAAGTGGATATGTTTTAGGAAGAAGTTTTATCGGGGATAACCCTTCAGTAGCAGTGAACTAAAGGATATTTCATTTCCAGGACTGTCTTTCTTGGTAAATTCAATACCAAGAAAGATTTTATGATAATCAATCATTGAGCCTTTTTATTAGCAAAATTCTTTTAAGTGCAAATTAGATATAGATAGAAAAGAACCATCACTTGACGTTCTTAAGGCTAAATTGAAAGCTACCTACAAGTAAATGTTGCTAGGAAAAATGATGTTCTTCAATATAACATTATGGTAAATGGGATGCATTTATTTCGACACTTTCTTAATCCCTCTTTCCAACATACATTTATTGAACTCGTTTTTGCCTCCCAATATATAATCTTTTAGTTTTTACATCTTCGCATTGTTAACCTCCCAATATTGGCCTTGCTCTCTTTTCTTATAAATACTTATAAACACAGTTTATGTTTTATGTTTTTTTTTTTGTATGTGTAATTTATGAAGCTTTTGTTTCAAATGGTATTTTTCAGTGCATGTACTATAAGTAATTTATGCTGATATATAATCTGAAGCGAAAGGAAAGGAAAAAATAAAAAAAAATCGAAAAAATAACAAAAGAAAAAGGGACGACAGTTGAGAAGACCTGGGGACGAGGCTGCTTTGTTTTGGTGGGCAGTAGAAAGTGGCAGAACATTTCAGACGTTTCGCGAAGAAAAAGTAACCGAACTAATGCCTAAAAACATAGCCAATTATTAATAATGATAATAATTTATCACTTGTTCGCCGCAAATTAGCATGTGGATTAATGCGAATGTGATATTCTATTATTTTCTAGTCAAAGTAAACATCAATCTACATCCTGAACTTGCTGAGACACAGGCAAATGAACATCCTCTTCGATTTCCGTAATTCTTCAGATCATACTCAGCCTCATGATCAACCATACTTATCTTTTAACAGCGCCTTTGCGAAATTTAAGACGGAAACAAAATGACGGCTGTAGATTTCTGCACAAACCCATGTATACTCACTGCAAGATTCAAGTCTTTCTTCGTCAAGCTGAACAGGAAGACCAAGAACACCACTAGGACCACTACCCAGCCAGTGACGAAAACCGCCATGAAGAAGACGAACCTCACTGAAAATTTGTCGCTTAGTCTACCCAACGGTTGTTCTAGTTCACGTTTAAAATCAGCCAGACATGAAAACGCTACGCAGATAGTTATCTGTAAAAAAAAAAGCGAAGTCATGACCATAGTTTGAGAAAACAGCCGACAATTCACGACGTATAGCCTGTACACAGACGTTGCTTTAATATTCCTCGCTGTTTATATTTTTATTACGCGCGCCCGACGGACTTTAAGAAAAAATATAGGGTCTGTGAACAGACTATTCACGACGCCACCATGCACTAATTTCACGGCGAAATTACGTCTGAGCAACGACTGCGGAAATACAATACTGATGACGTGTCACTACCTAGATGTGGGTAGAGCTTCTGATTGGTTGAAGCAAATTTCTCTTGCGGTACGACCAATCAGAAGCACTACCCAGGTCTAGGAAGCGACACATCATCAGTATGGATTCTGAATTTCTCCTACCAGTCGTTGCTCAGACGTTATTTCGCAGGAAAACCAGTGGTGAACCGTTTTGTCAAGCTAAGCGAAGTCATAGAGTTTGTCCCATCTCAGCGGTTGTGAATTAATGTAGCATGCACACACAACTGGTACAGCTGCTGAGTACGAAACTATATGGTCAATATACACTATAAAATAAAATACCAAGTCAAATTTTTAGTCGATTCTGCGTGTACTCAGCTTCATTCGATAATTGTTCCGAACTGTTAATTATTCTATACTGCTATTTCCAGAATGAGGTCAATTTAACGTACCCTTAATCTATAAAAAAAGGTTTGATTTTTCTTGAAATACTTACAAGTTCCAAGATTTTGAGTAGCCCCTGAACAGATTGTCCGTATTTCGTATTTACCGCCATCTCTCGTTTGCCTATGAAGAACTCCTGTGAAAAAAGAAGAGAAAAGTCTCTATTTAGTCGGGCTGCTACTTACTGATGTAGTTAAGGTGTTTCGATACGGTTTTTCGGAGGCCATGCCCACATTTTTCAAACACCTTAAAGGCGATTTTTCCCTCTCCGATCGCTAGAAAATTTTCATCAGTGATTGACTATGAATTGAAGTTTGTCAAGGCCCATTGCCAACCTTGATGCATTGCGAGCCGCGAACACAAATCCCGCGAATTTCTCGAAATTACCATGCATAATAGAAAGACTGGATAGGAAACTTATGTCACGTGGACTGATTTCTTATCAGCCCGTTCCATCATAGTGGAAATTTGTGACGAAACGATGGCGAAAATATGGCGCAAACCAGTCGAAATGTAGGGTTTGTTTGCCTGCATGTTGTTCTTTTTCGGAGTTTTTAGCGCTACTTTAATTTTTGGTGTATGTTTTCCCCTTCGTTTGCTGTCTTACGGCGATAACGACCCTTCAAAGCCACACTTGGACCTTCGAGGTAAGCACTTCTTGTTGTTGTTTTGTGTCATTTGTCCTTGTTTTTGAGAAAATTGCGTCCCAAAAATTGACCTCACCAGAGCCATATTTAGTAGACTAGGCGACTGTTTTGGGACGCCTTTATTAAGAAGGTTCCTTCTTCTTTCTAATGCACCTATCAATGTTAAGCCCCAGGGTGGGGGGGGCGGGCTACCCACGGGAAATTGACTGAGAGTGCCTTCCCCTGGGTAGGGATTTTGACATTTAAGCGTTGCCCCAGGGTGGGGAATTTGACATGGCCGCCATCTTGGAAGACCGAGAGAAACTGGAAATGAGTGACCTGCCATCTTGGTAATACCCAGAAGTCACCAGAGGTAAATGACCTCTGCTTTTCTTCAAATTTTCAAGACAACATGAGCGAAAGAAAGGTAAGGAAATCTGTTTTATTTTTCGGTATATATGAACCATCACTTATTCATTGTATGATCGAATGTTTATAAATAGAAGAGTCTTCGTTCCTTCTGTTTCTCTTGGATTACTTTTAGTGCATGTTTGCATATTCATGAATGTTCTTCGTGATGCTTGATTGCATTCAAAAGCTGATTATTACCCATGTTTTCTTCGCTCTGTTTTAGGTCCTTGTTCAGTACGGTGAGCGGCGAAAAGTTCTCGTCGTTGACGGCACATTTCCATCAACTGTTAAAAAGGAATTTGAAATCGACAGTGCAGAGACATTAGTCTTTCAGGAATATGATGATGAGTGGGGCGAGTATTTAGACATTGATGAGGTCGACTTAGCCTCTTTGAAAGACAAGGGAAAGCTTCGTGTAATATTAAAAGAAAATGTAAGTATTTAATGACATTAAATACAAGATTCATTTTGTTGGAATTATGTCCGTTTATTTTTTTTAAAACATCACTTGCTAAAAATTGTAAGAACAGTATTTAAAACCAGATTTTTTTTTTACTTTGGCAATGTCAGAAATCAAACCAAGCCACCAAAAGTTCCTCAATTACTTGTACGTTGACTTGTAACCCTACTACTTGTTCTTCGACATCAAAAAGTAAGTGCAGTTTTCTTCCATTTATGTCATATTCAATGTTATTTTTCAAATGCATCTCTAGAATATATAATCGCTGTAAGAAGTTTAGTTTGTTTTCACGTCTTTCAATAACAATGTAATATTTTATAAAAATGTTATTGGAAAAAATCTGCCCTCATTTCCTAAATTTTTGTCCAAGAAAGAAGGGCCATTGGAAGTATATGTTTTTCAATTGCTACTAGTTTAAAAATCATGGCTGGTGAGTAGTCTCCTTTTGTAATTTACAGGTCTGCCAAATCTGCAAGAGTGAGGATCCTGATAATGCCCAAGAACAAGTCCTGTGGATACAGTGTGACACATGTGACATGTGGTACCATCAAGTTTGTGTTAGAGCATCTTGGCCACCTTTATTATGCCCTGCAGAGGATGACATTTTCTGGCACTGCCTCTCTTGTGTTGCAGTGAACACTATGTGAGGTTGTAAAAGACATATCCTTTCCACCTGTTAATTATTAAGTCCTGACTCTGTTAGAAAAAGTTACCCCGCAGGCGGGAAATTGACATTTAGTAGGTGCCTGGGGGTGGGGAATTTGACTCTGGCTTCCATTAAAATGTCAAATTCCCCTGGGTCTGCCCGCCCCCCCACCCTGGGGCTTAACATTGATAGGTGCATAACCATAACTACGATTGACAGATCTTTCAAGGATGGAATTGTGGCATAGGCATAGTCACAGCCTGAATGCTGTTATTTCCTAGACATACATTTCGATTGAAAATGGCTGAAATTAACTACATTCGGAGCTGGCACCGAGCGAGTGTACGCACACGGTGTGTAAAGTTGCATTCGGTAGACTAGTTTGTGTTGAGAACTGCTTCGCTCAAGAAATATCCTGGATTAATCCTGCTAATTGTTCGGAAAGCAGTATGTTAATTTCGCTCATCTTTTAATGTTGAAATGAAACTACTAAATCACATATCCAGTGAATACAATCGCCTCACGTCGCTCCTTGCAGCTTGTATTCGAAGGCACTGAAGAGACTCGAATAATTTTTGTACTTGACCCTTACAAAAACTAATGATTGTAGCATGAATGGGAAAACACCTCCTGACATTTTTTGGCCTCCGTGTAGGCTCCTACGTGCTGTTATTAATTTTTAAACAGTGTTTTAGTTTTCCTTTTGTTTGTCTTTATTATAGGATTTGCTGAACACATATAGTCAATGAAGACAGTAAAATTGTGGTCAAGTGCTCTTCTGATAGGGAACAAATCAATCAATCTTTTTGTATTCAACAGCAACAAAGTTGCTTTTGTCAGTGAGAGCCAGAAGGTGGCATCTAATTTATTTATGATGAGAAGCTTTATTTATCACTTCTGAAGTTTATTTATTACTTCTTTCTCAGTGGGTGGGATAAATTAACTGTACATGTGTTTGAGGGTCACTGCATGTATTAGCTATACAGAGTCATGTGTTTAAGTTGGTTATTGTTCCTCTCACAAACGGTCTATATCTGCCGAATCACACATGTTGTTTTTGAAATCGAAGGTGGACTTGATTAGTACTATTATTGTATTCGTTTTTTTAGAGATCCAAAGCAATAATGTACCTGTAAATGATAAACCTTACCAAGATGTATTCTAAATCAAATTAATAAAACATATACCTGTACTTGTCTGGGGTATAAATTTTGTTTTCAACAACATGATAATTTGACCAGACAGTCATATTTTTTCAATCCCTCACCCGCTTACCTCAGACTAAACAAAAACCCTGGATATTACTGTTTTGTTTTTGTTTTTGTTTTTTTTATAAGCAGCTTAATTCTATTTTTCTTTGGGAGCAGTGTTTATGTTTATTTCAGATGGTCCATCACCTAGGACCCGAAAATTTGGGTCTAATACTCATCTCGGGAGAATAAAAGAAACCTGTCCAACATGAAAGTTTATCTATTAAACTTTCCAAAAATGTCTTGCCGGACATTCAGAGTAGTAGCTTTCCTGTAGAAATTCGACTTTGAAGAGACGTCACTGGAAGCTACCGAATGACGCCATTTTTAATACCAAACCCGGCTCTTGAAAGGAAGGCTGACTCTTGATAACATGAACCAAACCAAATGCAAAGTTGTTTGATAGTTGTCCTGTCCTGAGTAAATCATAAATGTGCGTCGTATACTATCTTCTGATACATTGGAAATTTTTTCTTTAATGTTTATCGAAAAGATTTCAGGTATCAATCCCGTCTCAACTTTGGCCGTCAGTATGAGCGTCATTGTCAAATTCAAAATTCTGCGTGTAGTCGAAACTTTGCAGTGATGAAATGTGAATCCAAAAATAGAGCTCATATGATGACGAAGAATTTGGCTAGAAACACGTATGTTTTCGCATAGTGCTAAATTTCAATAACAAGCCGTCGTGTATTAATTTGATTTCGCTCCACGTATATATACGTACTGCATTCAAGAAAACTGAAGTCACGCAACGATCACATTGACTGTGTAAGATTTGCCATTATGAAGTAGGTTTTCAAGTTTTTAAATTCTTCGTTCAAAATTAACTAGAAAAGATGTCAGTGCAGAGTATCATAAGACAAGCTGCAAAAATAGAAATATTGCAGAATGCGTCAAAAACTCACGCCACTACTTAATATAGACCTCATACTATAGGATATTAAGTTGAGTGTTAAATGAAAATATATCAAGATATGCTATGGATCCAAGTAAAGAAAATAAACGCCCGACATTAAAGTAAATCATTGTAGATATATTTTTTAATGCATGCAGCAGCAGTTTAAGATTTATTGCAACAGTAATCGTGAACGCTTTACATCATTGCCAAAATGAAAGATTATATCTCAACTCAAAGTACAACTAAAAAAATCTGATTGCACGATACCCAAACTACTAATTTGATGTTGATACTCGAAAATTAGGTAGATACATTAATAATGTTGGTACAATATATTTTCGCAGATGCGATGAGTCATGATAAAGAAACTAATGCAGATGTTGCTCTTGCCAATACTTGCTTAGTATAACCGAACCTGTACTTACAGCTAAATAGGGTGCGTTCTTTTGAGATGCCTTCGGAGAAGTCACGCAACGATCACATTGACTGTGTAAGATTTGCCATTATGAAGTAGGTTTTCAAGTTTTTAAATTCTTCGTTCAAAATTAACTAGAAAAGATGTCAGTGCAGAGCATCATAAGACAAGCTGCAAAAATAGAAATATTGCAGAATGCGTCAAAAACTCACGCCACTACTTAATATAGACCTCAATTACTATAGGATATTAAGTTGAGTGTTAAATGAAAATATATCCAGATATGCTATGGATCCAAGTAAAGAAAATAAACGCCCGGCATTAAAGTAAATCATTGTAGATATATTTTTAATGCATGCAGCAGCAGTTTAAGATTTATTGCAACAGTAATCGTGAACGCTTTACA